TTTTTTTTTATTTTTATTTTTTTTATTTTATTGATATGTTGCAGAGAGGAGGGGAGAGGGCTGGAGAGTTAGAAACATCGATGAGAGAGAAACATCGATCAGCTGCCTCCTGCACACTCCCCACTGGGGATGTGCTTGCAACCAAGGTACATGCCCTTGACCGGAATCAAACCTAGGACCTTTCAGTCTGCAGGCCGACGCTCTATCCAGTGAGCCAAAGGGTTGCAGGTTTGATCCCCAGCCCTAGTCGGGGTGTGTGTAGGAGGCAACCAATCAATGTGTGTCTCTTACATTAATGTTACTCTCTCTCTCCCCGCCTCCCTCCCACTCTCTCTAAAAATCAATGGAAAAAATATCCTCGGGTGAAGATTAACAAAGAAAAACAACCAGATGACCTGTCTGCTATTTAAAGGGCGAAGGCACTCGGGGGAGGAAAAAGTCCTTCAGCAAAAGGAAAAATCGCTTTGAGGTTTGAATAATTGCTGTAATTGATGGTTCGCACAGCACAGCGTCTAAGACGGGAGGCAAGCAGGAACTAGCAGTCCCTCCCGAGGCCCTGTGCTCCTGCCCGTAGACCAGGCTTCAGCGTTCCTCTCTCCCTGTAAACTACCGGCTGGGCAGCTGCACACCCACCTCTCCTGCCCGCCCTGCAGACGCCCTGCTCCCACCCCTGCTCCACGGCGGGTCCCTGAGGTCCCCCAGCACAGCCCACCCTGGGCCCCCTGCTGGACGCCGAGAGGGTTCCCCAGCCCCGCCCCCAAAGTGCCCGTCCACAGCGCAGAGCCATTTCTGAGTTCGGGCTGCACTGCTGGCCGCTGGGGAAACAACAGGCAAAGATGAGAGAACAAAGCCTGGCAGGACAGAGTGCGTGGGGTGTTCTCTGAGATGGGAAGCGAAAGCCGCTTCCTCCTGGGGTGGGAGGCCCAGCCTCCTATTCGCTGGATGCCAGGCAAACCAGCACCTCAGAAAAGGACCCCCGCATCCCACAACCAGGTCCCAGAAGGGGGCTCCTTCATTCAGGGCAGGACAAGGACGAATGAAGAATATGAAGGCTGGCCCGGCCGGCGTGGCTCAGTGGTTGAGAAACGACCTATGAACCAGGAGGTCATGGTTCAATTCCCAGTCAAGGGCACATGCCTGGGTTGCAGGCTCGATTCCCAGTGTGGGGCGTGCAGGAGGCAGCCGATCCATGATTCTCTCTCATCGTTGATGTTTCCATCTCTCTCTCCCTCTCCCCTCTCTCTGAAATCATTAAAAAAATATTTGGTTGAGAAACGACCTATGAACCAGGAGGTCATGGTTCAATTCCCAGTCAAGGGCACATGCCTGGGTTGCAGGCTCGATTCCCAGTGTGGGGCGTGCAGGAGGCAGCCGATCCATGATTCTCTCTCATCGTTGATGGTTTCCATCTTCTCTCCCTCTCCCCTCTCTCTGAAATCATTAAAAAAAATATTTTTCAAAGAAAGAATATGCAGGCTGAACTAGACACACGGGATTAAAGTATATCTATTCAGATAAATAAAGCAAAAGGCTAAACACCTGTGGCTTTGAAGAAGACCGGATGTTTAAAATCAAAGCCTGAAAGACAACGATCTCTGGGCGCTGCAGGAACTTAATTACCCGTCAGGCAGCACACGCCCTGGCCGGGCCGTACCTGGCATGCTGGGGCCCACATCCTAAAACACCACCAGTCACAATGCTGGACCCGGGCAAGGCCTGACTCACGGCTCAGGCCCCTCCTGGGCATCACAATCACCACCTGCAGGAGGGCTGCTCCCGGGAGCGGCCACGGTAAGCGGAGCCACGGTAAGCGGCGCGGGTGCCCCACCAGGGCCTGTCAGACACCTGCTCGGGACCCTGCTGCCCAGCGTGAGGTGCTGGGCGGGTCCTACGTGCTAGGACGAGCGGTCAGAGCTGCCACCACTGTCGCAGGGACCAGCCCACAGGCCCAGCAATGGGGGACCGGTTGCCCTGGTAACTCCTTGTCTAAGCTGTAAAGGAGCCTTTGCCAGTTTGGCTTGGTGGATAAAGAGCTGGCCTGCAGACCTAAAGAAATAATAATGATCATTTTTAAAAAGACTAAACGAGACAGAACTTCAAAGCCACGTTTACAAAAGACTGTTAGCAACAACAGACCCAGAGGAAGGAAAATGTCCAGAAAGGCACATCCTGGGATTCTTAAAATGGGCTTTTTTCATCCGTCTGTAAAGCAGGCGCACCCAGCCTCCCTCAGCGGTGTTACTGAACCTGGTGGCCGTGTGTGCATGTTAGTGAACCTGGTGACCCTATTTGCATGTTAGTGAACCTGGTGACCTGGTGGCCCTATTTGCATGTTAGTGGACCTGGTGGCCCTATTGGCATGTTAGTGAACCTGGTGACCTGGTGGCCCTATTTGCATGTTAGTGGACCTGGTGGCCCTATTGGCATGTTAGTGGACCTGGTGGCCCTATTGGCATGTTAGTGAACCTGGTGACCTGGTGGCCCTATTTGGATGCTTCGTTTAAACGTTTTAGCTGCAACCCACCCCAGCCGGGAGCCAACACTTGCATGTGCGCTGAAATAAAGGCCTCGACTCCCAAATGAACCGCTTCCCTGAAGACGCGCTAACGGACCGCCTGCCTTCCTGCCGCAGGCTGACCTTGGCGGCCAGGAACGTGCCAATCGCCGCGGTTTCCAGGGAAGAGAAACACAGACCCGGCGAGAAGGCACTGAACCCCGTTGTTGCAGCGGCTGATCCCCACCCGCGTATGCTCCTCCATTGACTCCTCA